ATGGAACGCGAAACCCTTTTATCCACGCAAACATTTCCCTGTAGAGATTTTTTACCGCAATTAAACCGAGCGACACACTGGCGTTTCGCAAGCTTCTCTGCCCATGTTGTTTATCCATCCCGGTGCAAACGTCTGAACGCGACTCTGGTCTGAAAATGGCGGTTCGTTTCCGTTCCGCGACGCTCGATCTGCCAGTAGCCAGCGAGAAAGACAGTCAAATATTCTTTTGAAAACAGGAAACGTAAATATTAACCTTGCATCTATGAATCTCGCGCGATGTACGCGTGTTTTCTGCGGTGGTAAAGAAGAAAAGGAAAAAGCGTGCGAAAATGACGCGTTTAAAAAATCCATGTCACGCAAAGGAGTCTTCAGAGATGGGAACATGTCTGATGGGAAATATAACTGTGTTTTTTCACCCTTCCCGTATCATGTAGTTCGACAATAAATATAATATCCATGACTAACAAAAATGACTAAAGGATTTACAAACGTAGTAAAGATCAGATTTATAAAATTTAACTTTTAACTTTTGTTATATTTTATTTCATTGCGGTACAAATGCACGGAGGCTTGAGTCTTCTGAGGTGCGTGATGCAGACATTGCGTCACTCGATCCTGCTTCGAAAATTGATAAGCTTGATGGTTCCTCAAAGCAAACATAGATCCCTATGCAGGGTGACGCGATCCAAATAAAGACTCCTCTCACACAAAACATCCTGTACCATTGAACATCTCGATCGCCTGTTCTCCCTCGATTTCGTTTTATTTTCCATTAACGACCTTTCATATGAGGTTCAGCGTTTCGTCCAGTTTGACCAAAAGCTGCCGACTAAAATCATGAATCATCACCTGACCTCTTCCGACATCCAATGTATCTATAGCAATGACCACGATGTAGCGACTTCGTAAATTAACCCGTCAAGATATAGCGAGGTTACAGACAAAACCCCCGAGGATCACCACTGATTCACGTTGCGGCATTCCGAACAGTAACTTCGAATTTGATACCCGGAAAGTGGTTCAGAGCGTAATCATATTCCATTTCAGCAACTGGATATGTTTACGCCGATGCCTGACCAATTTCACCACCTCGCTGTATCATGGTCTCCCACCTGTTCTTCCGCAGCTCCACCTGCAGACCAAGCATTCCTCCGCCCCACTCAGCGCAAATAGAATAAATCAGTGCAACCACCTCGACTCACCTCGGTCTCCCATGATCAATTTCACGAGGATACTAGGCGACAGCGAAAAAACCCATCGTGACGTTCCGTGCGGAGACTTTTTATCAGGCATCCGACGATAAATATCGTCGATCCCTTGTTCACGGCGGCGTTAAAGGGGTGGTTGTTGGTGGCCGGGCCTTTATTCCGGCCGGCAAAAGGATGCGAACGCGGTAAATAAATCCGAATCATCGCCGTGGAATCTGCGGGGCGTGGTGGCGAATGCACACCGGTGTGCAATGGCGTAGCAACGATGCGCCGGTGAGACCAAGGACCGCATTGCGGACGGTGTCGGATAGAACGATCTCTGGTTCCAATCGACCGTGCCCTTGCACCGTTGATGGTCGTAAAGCCTTCTAATAACGATTCTGGATGCATTCTTCTTCCTTTCCACGAAGTTTTCCTTCCTACCGGCCATTAGAGTAGTTGGGTCTATGATTGGCCCTTAATGGATCATGGTGTCTTTCGGAGGTATTTCAATGGCGTTTCGAGAGAGACTTAACCGGCTCTTAAAGGGTTCTAGCTTTTTTAGAGTTCAAGTGGGTGAGAGAAACGGAAGAAGGGGGTGTGCGATGGCTCGAGGGTGGTTTTTAGATAAGTTACGAAGTGGAGATAGTTATGGGGGACATTCACGAGGTGAGATGGGTCTGAGAGATGGACGCTGGAGTATATTTCTGAAATATACTTATTTTTATAAGTTTCGATTGTTGGGAGGTTATTCCGATTAATTGGTGTGTTTAATGCTATAGCTCGATTAGCCTTCCTACACATTTTCATTTAAAATATTATATTTTCTCTGTGAAAAATTTTGATACCTAACTAGATCATCACTCGATATATTTGCCACGGATACCTGCTTCGAATTTCGAATTTTGGAAATAATATTTTAATACAGTATAAATATAGTTTCTATATTATAAACTTATATACATTTTTTTAAACGTGATTCTAATATTAACCATAATATAGACATTTATCATAGAGGCACCTGGGTATCCTAAATAAATTATAGAACGTTATCAATAATTTTCATTATCGTCATGTCATAATGCTTAAAAATTATACTGAAGGGTTCCAAAATTCCAAAGTTCTAAATATTTACTCAAATAAGATACTTAAACAAAATCTTTCGATATTTTCCATGAATCATCACAGTGGCTATGCAAACAAAATTCTCCACACGTCTCTATAAGATACAAAAATATCGATTAAAATATCGAATCGTTTGAAATCAATTAAACGTAACGAGGTATAATTAAAAGAGAACGACCATAAGCCAACACTTGGAAGAATAATGACAGGTGTCACGCGATAAACAGGGGATCGTTAAAAATGGAAGCAGATGTCGCGAATCGCAAACTTATAGCGGAAATCGTGGAAAAAACAGGCAGATAGGGGTTTGGAAAGATTCGGTCATGATTTACGACGCTATTCCGCGGCACATGACGAATGTGGTAATCTCGGTGTCATTTGCGCCATGCCAGACCTGCACATCCGCCTCTCTCTTTTCCGTTAACGCAAAAATCTTATTTCCGCGCGACATAGTGCTTCGCTCGTTATATAAGTCTCAATAGACGATGTTGCCTGGTATTTCGCCTTTCGATCGTTCACCTTACGAAACACAGCAACAGGAAACGAGCTGTCTACCGACTTGACCTCTAATTGGTTTCCATGTGGAATTCTTCGTAGAAAGGAGAAAAAATTTCATGGTCAACTAGGTCTTTTTTTAGGAGAGATCTGACAGGTATTCTGTCTTCTCAATTTATTTCCCTTCTACTGCGGTCGGAGCTACGAAATTTTTGTGCTAACTCGAGTTTTAGTTCAGTTTTAGGAAAAGAAATGGTAATTAATTATTGCTGTATTCAGATATGTTTCGAAGATAATTATATAATTATATTGAATATGAAATATACAAAAATGACAATGTATACATAAATTTCAATTTCTTTTAACCCAAAGTAGAACACAAAAATAATTATTCCTATATTAAATAATTAAATAATCCTAAATAATTAAATATTAAATAATCCTAAATTATTCCTATATAATAATTATTACTATATTCAGATATGTTTCAAAAATAATTATCTAATTATATCGTGTGTAAAATATACAAAAATAATTATTCCTATATTGAATAATTAAATAATCCTAAATAATTAAATATTAAATAAATTATAAGTTATTCCTATATAATAATTATTCCTATACGAAAATAATTATTGCTATATTCAGATATATTTCAAGGATAATTATATAATTATATTGTGTAAAATATACGAAAATATTTTTATAATAGATTTGAATATAGGAATAATTATTTTTGTGTTCAATTTTGGGGTGAAAGAAATTGAAATTTTGGTATGCATTGAATTAATAGTGTTTTTAAACAATTTTATGTTTATTGTAGAATCTTGTGGAATTCTGGAGCGATTGAGAGTCGGTTAAGGAGGTATCATTGGTCTAAAATCCTTCAAGTTTTGCCATTATACTCGAGAAGATTCTGGTCCAGTATTATAGCATTGCAATAAGATCTGTTTTCCATTGTACGCCAATGCTACTCGTACTTTCTCTAATTTTGTATGCAAACGGATCAAAGATTCGCGGAACTGTTGTAACATTAAACGAACAGTACTAAATTTATCCTACTGCACAGACAACGCTTTCTATACTATTGTTGGTACGAAGATTCACACGAATCAACCTTTTCAAACTCAATTCTGATTATTTGAACAAGTCCTTTCGATAAACCGACATTGACAAGGCAGTCATTAGCCGGTCGAAGTATTTAAATAACTAACACTAAGCCAATCTTTAGTGCAGTTTAAATTTTTCAATTTTTGATATAATTCAGTTTAAATATATAGCAAGTAGCATAAAAGAATTTTTCCAAAAGTATTTTAATTATTAAAAAACTAACAATTAAAGAATTAAAATTCTCATGATCCCCGTCTAAATACTATAATTATTCCAATAATACCTTCCAACTTACTATCACATTCCACTATTATGTTTCACAACCATCTTAAATTCTAGAAACTACTATAATATCCAGCAAGCAAGGTAATTAAATTTAAAAAAAATACTGCATCATATACTCAAACATCCATCCAGAATTTCACAAATAACTTGCATGCGGATAAATTTTAATATGCGTCAAGCTTAAGAATTTTAATTCGAATACTTGAATCATCAGAAGCAAGATTTAAATACCCGAAACGGGATTCTTGTTAAAGTTATGCCAAAAGTACCACTCAGTCAACCATCAAATTTCACCACCGTTATCCATAACCTAGAATCTCGTGGCCTCCGCAAATTCAGAGGCAGAAAACAATTAAACTTCGAAAAACAATGCACGACAGGTCCATTGCGAAATTCGCAGGTACCATTGCAAGAATTCCTGCAACGCCAGCCGCTGTCTCCTCCTGTGACATTGCGTGTCCCGGTTCCGGCGTTCTTCCGCTTTAATTTACCCGTGATATTCGATCTGCCGCGAACTCGAGCAAGGGGCCGGATTTTTGCGCGTCTTCTCGCGAATACCTCGAGAACGCCGGGCGGAAGTTGCGAAGACCTTTCGAAGAATTCGCGGCATCCGCCGGACCTGGTGCTCGCGCGAACGTCAAAACAATCCAAACTTCTCACGGCGTTTCGAATCTGCCGCCGTTTCAGGAATGCAGTCCTCGCGCCGGACGCTTCCGGATATTCGATTCGATAAATCTTCGACGGACTCGGCCGCCATTTCGTTCGTACTATGAGAGGCATTTCTGGGTAATTTTCCAGTTGAAACTGCCGCGGAAAGAAGGAGGCGATGAGAGCTTGACGATCAACGTTTCGAACTCCTGCCTGGAACTGACGCCGGGCGTCCGGTTGAAACAGGGCCTCGTCATCCGCGTCTGCAGGGACAGTGACTTTTGTCACGACAAACTCTGTGTACAGAAGTGCTGCGACGACGACGTGCAAGAACGAAGCAAATTGTGCAAGAAGATCGACGGGACACATTCTAGGATGAACTTCTACGAGGAACTGGCGAATATCATGAAGACATCTTGGGATGTCACAGGTTTGTCCCGTTATTATGAGTTACAAGTGGTGGAAAAGCAATTATACTATATATATACTATAATATTGTATATATACTATAATACTATATTATAATACTACCATTACTCGTCTAAAATCTACTATGCTGCTATACTATTATACTACTATACTACTATACTATACTACTATTACTACTATAATACTACTAATATATGTTATATACTATAATAAGAAGCGATTTAGATATTTTTTTTGTAAGTTTCTGATAATCTCGGGTACTGGAGAATAATTTCTTAGGTATCAGGATATTTTGTTACGAATTATTGGGAATAATTTTTTAAAGTAGTTTTACGGTGACAGAAGCTTGCTCTATGATCATAGGGATGATGTGGAGTTAATCCTTTTATGGTGATTTTGTAATAATTTTGGGGTAACTTTGTAACTTTGGCTGCGTAGTTCTATAATAGTAAAAACTGTTTTGAGATTATAAGGGTGGTGGATGTTGATTCGTTTTTGAAGAAGGGGTATTTTATAGATGACACAAGAGAGATTTTTCTGGTAATTTTAAAATAATTTTCTATTTCCAAGATTACGGTGTGATGTTCGGACTCACCTGCCGGAATTCGATGTACAAAGTGAACTACACAGAAATAATTCTCTCGCCCAAGGGGTACCTATACTATCCAGGAGCGAAGACTACTACAAAGCTCAAGCATGACATGTACTGCTTGGAGCCATACAATGCAGTGACTTTGGACGGCTTATTTGGATTTGTCTGTTACGGAGACGATGAAGTCCTTGAAAAGTGAGCAATTTAACTTTTTATCGGAGTGCTTAGTATTATATTATCTTTCACTCTCTATACGATATAGAGTAAAGAATTGGAAAATTTTTAGACTGTCATGGGAATTCGTGTGACCTATAGTGGAAATTTTTTCAAGCATTGCGTTGCTTTAGGGAAAATTAATCCTTTGCCATTCATTTTTTACTGAAGAAGAGTAGGAGTTCAAAAATTTTTTACTATAAAGCTGACGACATTAATTAATTGAGATATTAATTACTATGGATCTTCCAAATTTTACCAAATGACGATTGAAAAGCATCTCTCGAGTTCAAAGGGTTAACATAACTTAGATATCTTTTGTAGCTAATTGCTATTTCCACTATACCATCCGACATCATAAATTTATCGTCACTAATGTGTCGTGAGAATTATTAAAGGGTTTTAGAATTTACATTTTCAGAGAAGATTTTAGCCTAACGATACCGAGTAGCGTAAACAGTTAGTGGATATTTCGACGAAAAATTCGACACACATAATCAGATCCGTATATTTTTCACGTAGTGTCTGAGCTGAAAGTCGAGAAAATAAAGGGACGAAGAGAGGGGTACGTGTTCAATTCGAAACCGTACGTTTACCCGCCTTTTCTTCAGTCATTCGAACAGTTGAAACTTTTAATCCGATGGATGGCTATTTATTGCTCGAACCCCTTTGTTTGACTTAGAAAAGTTTAAATAAGTAAAACCAGTCGAGAATCGCGAAATCCAATAGAAGTTTGCTTCGAAATTTTTACGCTCGTTCCCTTGCTGCGCATGCGTAGCGCCTAACCACTACGCGAATTGTTAATTCCTTCCAACTACGATTAAACGAAAACATAAATCTTGAAATCGAGCAATTCTCAGTTCTCCTTTCAATGAAAACAATTTTCTTTTGATATCGTGTGATTCATTTATTCGAAATTATATTTGTAACATTTTTATCGAATCTTCCTGTTTTATGTAAACGAGCCATGACTATGTTTACGTACAATTGGAAAGGGAATTCATTATAAAGATTTTTGGACCCGATGTATGGTTAAAAAATAAAAAATAAATAATCAATATATCACTATAAATTTTAATATAAATTTGAATAATTAAATCGATAGATATTCCAAACTTTTTCGTCGAAAAGTGAAACACATTCCGCCATTTTATCACCGAAACTATTCGCGAATTCTGTGCCATTAAATTTAGAATTAACGCAATTTCGAAAAAATGCACTTTGCGAAACTTTCCCAAGAACTCATCAGAAGTAAGTCCAGTGCAAACACTGAGCCCGGCAAATGAACAAAATTCTCCATTCGCTCGATTTCACTGCGAGCCTAAAATGTTTCCTCAGCATCGTCTGAAAGTTTCCCGTCAGACCGTTTCCTGTTCGATCCATTTACTCCAGCCGCTGACAAGGTTTACCTAACCCTGATGCACAGTATCCAAAGCACCCGTTGTCAACGAGGATTATTCCAGGGATCGTGGATATAAAAGATTGGACTGTTCTCGATGCTGGTCAACCGTTCAAACCGGAAACCAGCATCTTTCGCGGCAGCGCGTATTGTGCCTGCATCAATGCCAGATAGCCAAGTTGTTTGCCAGTGATGCGGACAATGTGTACGCTCGTATATCTTCAAGCAGAAGAATAAATAACAATGGTACAAGTCCATTTGTCTGATGAATAGAAGAAGGGCCATTCACCGGGACAAGTCGTAACGAAGTGGCTATACATTCGTGTTCGTTCGTTCGTCTCTTCCGCTATAATATACGTGTGTATCTCTCTCTTCCTGCTCGTTTTTCTTTATTCTTTCGCTATTTCCTATGACCTATTCGAGCACTGTCTATCGAGGTTTCAGCGAGGTTTCAGCTACCTCTGTTCGCTCGTAAGATCCCTTTTTCAACAGCAGTTCCTAACATTTCCGCTTTTCCTCTCTCTCGAGGTATAGCAAACTTCGTGATACACGAGGACTCGCAAAATTATTCGAATATTCCTATTAGAAATTTTCAATTCGTCTCGGTCGATTTACGATATTACCTTCGAAATTTGAGCCCAGTTTCGACAATTTTCCCACTTTGGAGGATCAACTCAAAAAATTGGAAACACTAGTGTAGGATAACTGTTAGATTAATCCTATGCTGACAGAGATCTGCGCGTTTAATAAATAACGACTCCTTTTTAATAACAAAATAGAGTTATTTAACTAAAATATTACACTAGGTTGATTTTCACAACTCTATCTTTCAAATACTATTTCCTTTGTTAGCGTTCTTCACTGCTCGCAATACCACACAAGTGTTCGAACGTAATTCCCATGTTTCAAGTAGATATATTTATATGATATTAATATAAATAACTTGACAAAATATTTATAAAATATTGATATAAATATCTCCATAAAATGTTTATAAAATATTAAAAATGCCTTGATAAAATATTTGAAAGATACAAATATCCATTAATATTTACAGAATATTAAAAATAGGAAACTAAAGGTAGAATACCGTAGTACTAAAGTAGAGTATTAGAAAAATAATTAAAAGATCGGCAAACCAAGAGTATTGTGTGACTGGTTAGACAGATTACCAACTTACTCGCATAATTTTTACTCGAAAGTAGTTACTGGGAAAATCCGCGAACAGATAGTGGCACGACCCACTCGCACGTGACATGTATGTGGAAAAGTCATGGTTTCTTCCTGACTTTTGCCAGGGAGCGACTTTTCCAGCAGCGTATACGCGTTTCAAAGCTGTTTTTTCGTGCACGCGTCCCAAAGGACCGAAAGTGTCATGAGGAGCGGCTCAGAAATACGTATAGAAGTCGGAAGCGTTGGTAAACGAACAACTGATGCCTTTTGTGGGAATAAGAACAAGTAACGATTTGTCGGAACGCGATGAAAGCGAAAAACGACAGAAGGGAAGTTGATTTTCACGACGTTCCCCTAAATCTGCGAATATTTTGACGAAAATAAATGAAATTCGGGGCAACAGGGATATAGAAGCATTAAATTTATCACATGCAATTTTAGTCTGTCCAAATGTGCGAACGAATCTTTTTAACTCTTTGACTGCCACGTCGAAATCACATGTTTCCCTCAGGACGCCACAGAAGTGTTTTAATATATTTTTGATGTTCTAATAAAATTTTTTAATTGTTCAATAGGAAACTTTTTATTTCAAAGTATCTTCTAACTAGTGGTTATATTCAAAATGCACTAACTGTCAATTTTCATTCAATGTTGTTCAATGTGGTGTCACAGAAGTAAACCGTGGCCGATCATATATGACCAACGTCTCAGTCGAAGTGTTAATGTACAAAAATATAGGTAATAATTATAAAATTTGGTATACGAATAATTTTTGTTTTCATTTTTGATGAACCAAGTTTTATTTTGTTGACGGTTGCTAAAATTTGGTGGATTTGATTGGATTTTATTTGAACGACAGGAGTTTTGGATTTATCGGACAGAATATGCTTGGAATAAAAATATTTCTCGAAACAGGAGTGTATATTACTGAATTAACGTTGCGGTATAGTTTGCATTTTCCTATTAATAGAGGGATCGCATGCTGAGTTGCATTGCATCGTTAGAGACATAAACCTGTCGAGTCGTATCATTGGTTTGGCATCGCAACCATGTCGCATTGCTCGTCTGCATCGAGTGTGTATAAAAAGTATTTATTGCTTGTTTTCCATTCGAAACGGGGAGTGTCTTTCCATGTGTGTAATTTATTACTCAAGTATGCCGATTTCCAATCGCTCTACGATCCAAGAATATATATATCTTTACGTGTACCGACCTTTAAAGAAAGTACTGTGCGTTCGAGAAAAGGAGGCACAGTGTGCCTTTACATCCTCACGGCTGATTAACTCCGCTAATACTCCTTCGATCACAGGATCATCACTCATGATCTTCGTCACTGTCTTCTGCTAATAGCGGCCACTCTCTGTGATCATGGCAGTGTCAGTAGAGTTAATTAGTTGTGAAGGTGTAAACACGCTGTGCCTTCTTTCCACGAATGCACTATACCAATGTTTTCCAAAATTAATTTCTATCATTAATTAGTATTATTATTGTGGCTTCACAATTTCTTCTGGTTGATAGCAAACCTTTCTTATTAATTATTATAACGTCTTCAATGCTTCTAAGAACAGCATATACGAAGATCTTTAATAGATTGTCTCTGAGAAAAAGAACTTCTCTAAAGATATTCATATGTTTGGATAATAGCAATGATTTCTCGCCCACGTTACGTTTACAGATGGAGTTCTATATTCCCATTGGGTTATAAATTTCTATTCAAGAAACTCAATGTTAAAATAACGTAGATTTACCTTCACACTGCATTGAAACTCAACGACACAAATATATATAATAGAACCACGCCATACAAGCAAATGTCATTTTCCTGGATATAAAATACAATTTATTATCGCTCCAAATATAAAGTACAGTAATTTTTAATTCACGATCATTACTTCACACTCCAAATATTATTTTATTTTAATGTTTACCACTTTTTACGCACAACGAGTATACTCGTCATGACACAAAATACTGCCACTTCTCCATGACAAGTATACTCGTCAATCTCAGCTAACTGGATAAGTAGAGTCATGATGCAAATGGGCTAATGTTCTAATAAAGCCTCTTGGAACACCCAAATCTATACCTTCCTTTCTAACCCAAGGGATTGGCTCGCTCTGTCAGCCAGACAGCTCTCGCGACTCGCGGAATTTCCTTGATTTCGGCATAAATAAAGATCAACCGATGTTAATGAGCCCGTTAATGCCGAGTCGAGACGGGCACAGTCGGAATTAGTCGATTTATATTCGCCGACCGTGATAACGAGAGAATACCGACGCGCAGACACGATTCCCTTTGTACGTCCCTGTTCGCCTGTGCTTTAAGCAACCGCCGAGATAAAGTTCATTTCGCCGGCGGAAATTTCGCGTTCCTCGCGTTCCACGGACGAAAGGGCCTGCGATTCGTTTTATCAAAGCCCTGGCTCGTTCTTTCGAATCGGTTTCGGTAGACAGTGCGTCGAAATTTATGAAGGAAGCGCCAAGTGACAATGAGGCGCGGTCTCAATTAGCGAAACGTCGAGGACAATAGGCTACGTCGAGCCGGGTATAATAGGCTGTAAGGCTTTTTTCCTTTGTCAGAGGTAAACCGGTGTGTGTGTGTGTGTGTGTGTCGTGAATAGGTCGCATTTCGAATTAGTATCGTTTTTCGCGTTGATCGTGTCGAATTTTCCATTCGATGGAATTTACAAATTTCGCGAACTCCTCTGTAGGATGGAAGCAAGTTTGAACGACGAAAATTTCGATCACATTGAAAGTACTTATCGGATAAAGTAGGGGAATGTTGATTTTAGGCTCGGAGATTGCGCAGACTACTTTTGCACTATGATATCGTTAATTTTAATGAAATATTTTCGGGTTGATTTTATTATGTAATATTAATATAAAATTTAGGATTTATTACGAAATATGAATTGTAAATATGAATTTTTAACGAAGTGGGTGACGGTACTTAAGGTGGGTAATTATTCGCACGAGATATTAATTTTTATCTTTCTCTGTTTCCAGAGACTCGGGAATCAAATACGTGATTTCCAGTACCTTACAAGGAATCAGTTGCATATTCCTGCTATTAACTCTGATTGTGTACGCTTGTTTACCGAGTCTGCAAAATCTGCATGGCAAAACACTCATGTGCCATGCAGCGAGTCTTATGGCGGGCTACTTCTGCCTTGCCATAGTACCGTCGGTGACACCGGCGAAACGTTGGGTAGAAGATACCTACGCAACCAGGGCCTGCTCTGCACTGGGTAAGGTATTTTTCTTGTGTTAATTTTATTTCGATTAATTTTTCATTAATTAAAATAATATTGCGGAACTCATCGAAGATTTAGAGCGCGAGAAAATATTGGAAGGCTGGTATCGCGTGTAGAACTATACAATGAATATTTTAGGAATATCTATATGCACGTGTCATCGAAAATTTGATTATTAGAAGATCGATATTTTATATCAAAATTTGTAATGATTTTTTGAAATTACGAAAATAGGTTCCTTTTTTCTTAAACAAAATTTAGAGCTATTAAAATGTGTATCGTCGAAAGTTCAAATTCCTACATCGAACTGCTTAATTGAATTTTGAGTTGATCACTGAAAGTCGAAAGCTCATGTAACAATTTTCAAAAATTTGGAATTATTAAAATAGAGTTCCGAAATCATGATATTTTTGAGGTAAGTTAATACCTTTGTCAGTAATAGAAATCACGAGAGTTATGGTACACTGCCAAGTTTGTCTAACAACACAGTTTCAAAATAGCTTCTGATATAAAACTGACTGCCTACGTGATATTGCAACATGATAATCATAGATAAAACAATTTGTATAAAAATATCTTGTAAAATTTCAAGCTGTTTTAACTAACAAATTTAAATATCTTAAACAACATATTTTATAACAAATTTAATTTATTTAGAAAGTACTGGTAAAACTTAATCGCAATAAATATTTAATTTTAAATAAATTATACAAAAATTCGCCCATGGATGCCAAAAATTTAAATTTCCTCCACTTCGGGATACTTATTATTATTATTATTATTATTATTATCGTTAAATGTATTCACAATAATATTTTCTAAAATTTACGACATTATAAGAAAAATGATTATTACTATTATTATTAATTCAAAAAAAAAGAATAAGAAAATATTAGAAAAAATAATTAGAATAATTATAAATAATTCGAAAAATTATCATAATTATTACCACTCTGTCTCGCAAGAAATTTTCAGTCACACTGTACCCTATTTAAAAGAAAAGATTATCGATAGTATAACATAGTTGTTAACGTGGCTTCACGTAACGTGCTATTCGTATTTCCAATTTATAAACAAACGGCTCATTCCATCAGTATGCGTGCAATCACGTTCGGATATTTTCACGGGTTATTTTCAGAATTCTCGTGTTTCGTGCGGTCTTTAGTCACTTTCAAAAACATCGCGTTGCATCGACATTGTACAGGAAGATCCGAAGTACGAGTTTCACCCTCGAGAGGCGAATCAGACGGTTTTTGGGCAATGACGTTTGATACAGAACGCACTCGTCGACGCGTGGCGTCAAAAAATTCGCGAACACAAAGAATACAAATAAGTAGCGAGGTGAAACGCGTAACAGATGGGGACTAATGTCAAAATCGACTGGAAATTAGCAATTTTTCTTTTTCGTTCGATGTAAGCTTGATCAACTTTCGCGACACCCTGGCAAAATAAATCGATCGAATGAAAAATAATTTCGGAACAAAAGTCGCAGAAATACTGAATTATTTTTTCGAAAATCACACAGAGAATTTTTCGGAATATACTCAAATTTTCAACATCTCTTTAAATTTAAAATAATGTCAAAATTATAGGTTCGATAATTACCGAATGTACATTTTTCATTAACTTCAGGTGAAGGGTATCAATAATGAAGGACAAAATGAAACGATAAAATTCAGAAGTGAACTAGAGAATTGCACAACATAGAGAGATAAAAAGTACAAAATCAGAGAGAATTTAAACGCATGATGTGACAGAGAGATATCGATTTTAGATAAATAGATAATAGTCGAAAGCTTGAAAATTTCGATGTCGTAAACGATGAAATAAAATCCAGTGTGAAAGTAATAAAAACGCAGGGGTGAAACTACAAATCGCATTAAAATCTTCGATCGCGAAAAAAATTAAAAAAAAATAAAACCATATCGTTGTAAATATCGAAATTTATGTGCAGTATCCGTTGTAACGTTTAGTACCCTCCTAAACCTGCTAGTTTAAAATACTGTAAATTCGACAAAGCAAAACACATTTAAAACTACCCTGAAGCTCGCAGGTAATAAACATGAAAATATCTCTGAATATTAAACCGAATAAAAACAAAAATGAAAAAAAATAAATAAATAAATAAAAATAGAAAAAATTTCGTGAAAAATGGCAGATTAATTTACAGTAATTTAGAGAATAGTAGAAATATTGCTAACAGAAATTCAGAATATATGTCTAATCGTTAATTGACACGACGAGAACGCAGCTTCTGCAAGCACTATACGAAACCATTTATCTTCATTTTCAGGATTCACCATGCTCTTCTTCTTCCTGTCAGCTTTTTGCTGGCTGAACGTCATGTGCTTCGATATATGGAGGACATTCGGGTAAGATGTTGCTAGCCATTTAAATTGTCTCCCTTGGACGCGTCGTTTGAACCAGCTTCTCGCATTCGTTCCTGTCCCTTCTCCCCTTTATCCCTGGGGTTCGGTGAAATTTTAGCGAAAATCTGCACGTTCAGGTAATCGAATGGATAGGGAGGAATCCGACATCGAGCGAAATAGAAAGGAAATTAGTCGCAGAGAGGGTCGAGTACACGATGACTAATGAGAGGAGGATTAACCCTGTCGATGAGGCGCGTGATCGGAGTGGATCTCTATCCGAAAGATTCCCGAGATTAATGCGAAAAGTACTTTACACGTCGCGATTTTTCAACTGTCTTTCGCGTAATAGATGATCGCGATAAACCTCGCGGGAATAGCTAAGTTCCTTGGCTTAATTTATTCTTGGGAGAAGACTGGAGAGTCGCGGTCTTCGCGGATTTTAGGATATTTCTGGATGTTAGTTAAAAAGAGAATCGATTGATAATTAATTAATGTTCATAATGTCTTCGGGTATTTTTGTATTATTTGGTATCTTTTGGATGTTTGATAGATTAGTGTTTGATTGTATTAATTGGCAGAAGATTAGCGAGTCGCGGTATTCGCTAATTTTGGGAAGTCTTTGAATCTTAAAAAGAGAACCGACTGATAATTAATTAATGTTCATAGTCTTCGGGTGTTTTTGTATTATTTGGTATTTTTTGGATGTTTGGTTGTTGGAATTGGCAGAAGACTAGCGAGTTGCGGTATTCGCTAATTTTGGGATGTTTCTGAATGTTAAAAAGAGAATCGACTGATAATTAATATTCATAGTGTCTTCGGGTGTTTTTGTATTATTTGGTATTTTTTAGATGTTTTCTAAATTAGTGTTTGATTGTTGGAATTGGCAGAAGTGATTAGTAGAAACTTTGGAGGGTTGAGAAAGGAATCGATGGAGGTGAAATTATATTTTCATAAGTGTGATAATTAATTAACGTTGATTAATACCTTTGGGTATTTTTGTCTTTGCTATTTTTTGAAAACGTGATGGATTATTGATGTTCCATTATATGGATTCGTGGAAGATATTAATTACGTTTGGATATTTTTAATAGCACAGAGGATTTGATGACAACCTATGCGTGTCAATTTATTTTAATAGTGCATAATATCGTTAGGCTGCTCTTCCTCTTGAAATCTTGAGATTCGAGAAAAGAATTGTTTCGCAAATTATTGTAAATGATTTCTTCCCGTATATTGCATTAATACCAACTAATCTACCTGTAGCAATCAAGGATCTTTTTGGAAGAAGAGTACCTAAACATTCCCTATTCTCTATTTCCTTTTATTGTATTTCCATAATTTATATTTTATTATATTAAACGTTATTCCACGTTAACACTAGAACTACCAATCCAGTCAAATAGATTGATCTCAGAATTTTCCGCTTTGCTATTATTAAAAATATATAACTGATTTTAAAAATAATTTATGTCGACTCGTATCGAGATAGACCTGTAATTAATATATTTACCTCTAAAATTACTATTATATATACCCGCAATGTTTAGCTACCCATTAAAGATCAGTAATCCTAGTATTAAAGACAAAATTTACACAATATCTATAACACAAGTATTTCTTATCAATATAGATTCAATTAGATTCGAAAACAAAATTTGTTTCAAGATGAAATCTCGAATTCCTCAGCAAACCCCTGTACCAAGTATACTTCACATTTCTCAATACCTATTTCCCCAAGTCAAGAAACAATAACCATTCCTAATGATCCTCGTCTCTCACTCCCATAACCAAATTAAATTTCATTTATTCACAACTCCCCCGAATTCTCAGCAATCCCGGAAAAACATTTCGCGAGCTGTAGCAGCAAGCTTTGCGCGCTGACACCGAGAGCGACTTCCGTTTCCTCGTCGAGCGATCGATGGCTGCAATCACCGTCGCGTCGGCGGATCCGCGTCGATAAACGTCGTTCTCGTTTCACCGCGGAATTATCCGTTCCGCACCCTCTCTGTCCCCGTAATTCGAGAAATGCCCAACTTTCGTTCTCCGATTACCAACCCCTGCGATCGTCGCGTTCTTTAACGGCCGAACAATAATCCCATCCCAGCTTCCGGTCACGGCGACGCTAATTATGTTTACCCGGATTTCATTCCCGAATCACGGAGTTAAAACTGCGATGAAGCGTCGGAGTTAGCGACGAACGACTCGCGTGACGTTTCGCGCGAACCTTGTAACCGGGACCAGGCGAATTTCCGGTTCTGCGCGCGGCCACTCGCCTCATCCGCCTCGCTCCCGCAGCTGCCAGCCATCGCCGAGTGTCACAGTCTTTTTTATTTCCTCGTTCTTTTCCTATTCTTTTCTCCTTTTCCCCGTGTTCTTTTTACCCTTTCCATTATACGTCTCGGTCGTAATTTCGATGGAGTGGACGTCGAGATAGTGAATCCATTCCGCGCTGTCACCTCGTGACATGTCCGGCCGGATCACGGCGTGCGAAGAGTGGGAGAGTGTTACCATGATATTCGAATCGCGAAAGTGCTGATTTTTGGTCTTTTAAGGGTTCGTTTGAGCAGTGGTCAAAGTCTCTTTCGAGATTAACGAGGGTGGTTTGCTATTAAGTAGTTGAGGAGAATTACCAGGATTATTGTTTGGAGGATGTGGTGCGAACGTTTTAACGTTAAACCTACTATAACCTACATAGGGAATTTTTTAATTTTAGTTAAAAATTTGACCATTTGCGGCTGGAGCGGCCTGACAAGCTAGCGTCATTGTGGTTGAGAGGTATTAACGCGTGTAGTAGAGAAAATATACAGTAAAACTGTTTAATAAAATCAAAAAAGAATATATTTAGGTATGTTATGATTATGTATGATGCATTTTATATTCGCCGACTATAGTCACCGGTCATAAAAATTGAGTCAAAAATTAAAACAAGTGCTATCATTTCGCTTAGCTCTCTTCGCAAAAAATTGCAAGCGTTATTGCGATGGTCAGTTTTTCCTTTCCTTATTTTCTTCTTCAAAAGACTTGGCTCTGGATGCTAAAGACTGCACGATTGTATTGTTTTCATCATTGGCACGACATTGGCTTCGTTCTACGGGAAAGACTTTGCGGCGATGCCCGCCGTAGCGAAAAGGTTAATCTTTTACTCAATTTTTGTGGTCTGTGACTATAGTCACCTGTCGTGTGTAGATGAGTCTCGTGGCCGATGATTATAGTCACTTGTAGTAGCGAAAGGATTAACACGTTAAGTGCCACGTCGGTCGCCAGGGACCGGTGCCAGACTTTCCGTTCGGGTCTAGCCGATTCTCAGGGACCGGTCCAGATTAGGACCAAAAGGTGCTAACTTTTGGTGTTAAATTCTTCGCCGCCTTTGAACCTAACGTTTGAGAATTCCTGTTATAACAATTGGTATAATATCTCCGAATTTTACGAACACTTTGTCCGCTGCCGTGGCCCACTTGACGGTCTAGTCTGGGCCTGAACGGATCGCCAAGTAAAATGTGCTGTGCATTTAACGCGTTAAGTATCCCCTAGAAATAATTGTCATTGCATAGATAATAATAATCTCGGTATCATAATAAAATTACGTATACATAATCACGTTCCTATTTACATAAAAATCAAAATTTTCCTAAAATTAATTTTCACTAACTTCCAAAACAAAAAATCTGAAACCAGCCATATTCATTAGCTTTGATAGTCGCAGTATTAAATATACATTAGCGTATTATTATTCTGAAGCAGTAAAACCCATTAACTTGCCTTTATTAATTTCTAACCTCGTGCACAAGAACGGTAACGCTTGTGCTTAAGGAACGACCCAGTTTCTTAAGGCCGGCAGGTTAAACGATAACTCTAGCAGACTTTCTTCTCCGTTTCTCCGCTTAATGCCCCTTGATCAGGCTCTAGGGGGTGTTCACGTTCCTACACTCCGAGGTATTCCCCATAAACAGCGAGTTTGAGAGGGAAATAGAAATTTCCGTCCCATCGTCATTACCTGAAACGTGAACTGCTGCATATGCAAATGATTTATTCAAATTGCACGCTACCGCGTACGAAAAGTGGTCAAACTTTTTTCCTCCATATTCCTGCAACAGAGTATTTATGAATAGACTGTCGATATCCATGCAAATACCTTTCTGGAAGATTAGCGAGCAAGTGGGTCATGGATAGAAATTTGTTCTGACTTTAGCAGGTTTAGTCATGTCCTATTTATTCCACGTATGTTTCACGTTTCCAGTGCCTTGCATATTTTTTTAAGAATATGTAAGAGAATTTTACGTATTACAGGTTTCGTATATTTCGTATATTACACTTTTTAAAATTCCACGCTGTTTGCACAAATTTTAAATTGCACGAATTTGTGAAGCGTAAGAACGTATACAGACGTCGATCAATTTTAATTAATTGATTCAGTGTAATTTGAGACACATGACACAGGAATATATTTAACTCCTTTGTTGTAGAATATTTTCAATATAATCTTATTCCACATATTCCATGCGCGAGTCGGTAATTGCTGTACATGTACACATACTGCATTTTCATATTTCACGTATCTTATTTCCATGTTTTCACGTGTTTTAAATAACTTCATCCCTTGTACTCGAGAGGCGCTCTTCAATCGCCATTTAATGAAATTTCGAAGCCCGATATTCATTAATATGTCAAATTTTAGATAATGTAACGGTGTACGAGGTTTCAAAATTAAATAATTCTACGTGTTAGTTATTATACGATTTCTTATTCACTGCTTACAAAAATATCATCAGCTTTATAGCAGAAATTTTTCAATTCCTAATAATCTTCTTTAGTCAAAAAATCGTCGAGTGCAAAAGGATAAATAATCAGAGAAGTCGACGAGAACAGAAAATGTATAACGATTCTTGTTTAACCCTGTTGAAAAATTATGAATCATTCGTCACATTTTTCATTATTTTTTAATATCGTATTCAAGACAGTGTTGTACGTTAAAATTACGTGACTTCTTATTTACTGCTCAGAAAAATATCGTCACCTTTATAACAGAAAATCTTTGAACTCTTAATAATCTGTGTACGCACGTGTGTACGTTAAAATGCGATATACATAAATTTCTCGTAAACATGCACAGTCTATCTATGAAACTGATAGCCTGAATACCATATAGACTTGGAAATCACGACTGAATCTCCTCTATCGATCGATTTCCAATTGTTTCATTTGCGATCTCGATTCATCCAAGGTTCTCGTGTGTAGTCCCTCAGTATGCCGTGGAAGTTTATGTTTCCAAGTTGCTATTTTAGCTGGTAGATTTGCAAATACGCGGAGAAAATAGATCTACGTGAACGGGGAATAATCACCTCGATCACCTCCGATTTTCTCGATAGACTCAATAGGATTGTTTCATTGATATCTGGTAAAAATTCCCTTTTGACATCGTGCATCAATTTCTTTTATTTATATTTCTATATTTAATATTCTTCTAAATTTCTTTTATTTTTAATCTCCTTTATTCTTTATCTTATTATTACTACTTTAATTTCTTTTATTTTTCATCTATATTTAGAATTTTTTTTACTTATATTTCCATATTTAATTTATCTGCGTTTCATAGCAGAATTCCAATATTTACGCTAATATTTATTTATAGAATCTTCCTAACTATAGTTAATTTTAATACCACAGCGGACACTTCAATGATAATTAAATAATAATAATTATTTCGATTAATTGATATTATTATTAAATAATAATTCATTAAATTATTAAATGACAAAAATTTGTGTAATATAAAATAGGAAAGAAAAAGTGGGATAATAATTAATTATTAAATGCAGATTCTGATTGATCATCGGGTATTAATAGTTATTAATTATTAGAAGAGCTAATTCACAAACTAGAGGGACACAGGGTGCTTCCTATAATAACTGCAAGAGGTACAGAGTGCTTTCATGCAAATTGCATTCACTCCAATTATCGCTTGAACAAAATTCTTTGCTCGTGAAGCTAAATAAAAATAAAAAGTTCTACAGGTTTCGTTATACTCCACTTTTGCAACTTGACGTCAATTATGTCGATTATTTGATAACAATTTGTTCGTTTAAACTTTTAATTGGGAATACGTTGTTTCGATAATAGAATATAATGAAAATCGTATTTAATTTTCAACACAATGGATAACAACTAATAACAAACACTCGTTGAACACGATACATAGTACGTTTAAGTTAATTCGCAGAAACGTAATGATTCCGTGTAACGCGATAGAGCAACAGCTCGACAATTACATTTTGCACCTGTCATGTGTCTCATGCCAGGAAAAAGAAGTTCTTCGATTCCCTTGTTCCGAGCATCGAATATATTCACACGGAAAAGCAATATTTAACGCGTTGCCTTGAATCGTTTACGCAAATAATCAGCCAGTTTCCTTGTAAATAGACAAACACGCCTCCTTTTCCCACTTTTTCACTTCTTTTAACCGAGCATTCAATCGTATTGTATACTAACCTCTTTGTATCGTGTCTCGCGTTAGTTAATCCTTTGCACTCGAGAGACGACGCGTTATTAATTATATAATTAATATTTTATGATTTAATCAGATTCTAAAGATCGTTATTAATTAATATCTTGAAATTAAAATTGTGCAACGATGCGTGGAATATCGGGGTAAAATAATTCTACGTTTTACAATTAATTTGCACTTCTTATTTACCGTTTTGAAAATATCATCGACCTTGTGGCAGAAAGTTTTCGAATTAAACTTTCTGTTTCTGTAACGAAAAGATCGCCGAGTGCAAAGGGGGTTAATGACATTACAATACAATTTTCCATATATTTAAATGTCATTAATAAATTTTTAAAATTTTACAGTATCAACATTTTACTAAATTTATAATTAGTAATAATAACTATAATAAGGCTTCATTGGGCGCTAATTAGAATTTTTCATTAATAATGCATATAATAACACAAATAGTGTCATCATATTTTACCATCAGGTATTTATAAAATTCAAATTTTATTAACCCTTTGCACTCGGTGAATTTTTCGTTACAGAAAAACAATAAAATGGAAGACTTTCTGCCATAAAGTTAACGATATTTTTAAAACGGTAAATAAGAAATCATATGCAAATTAAGACGTAGAATTATTTTACTTTGACATTCCATGCATAGTTGGATAATTTTAAATTTGATATATTAGTTAACATCGATCTTCAGGTTCTAATTAAAATGGCGACTGAGTGCAAAGGGTTATATAATTGCGAATAATAATCGTAGTATAGTTAAATTTTTATAATAATATTGACCCGGAATTTTTAATCTCAATATTTGTTTTCTTGGTTTTGACTTTGTTGATATCATTAAATTTCTCGATAATTTTACTAGAAATTAATATGTAATTTATAAAGGTACTTTTTTTCTTTTTTAATTAAGCAAATTACAAATACTTCATTTAGTGGTGCAAGATTAAAAAAAAAAAGAAATATTCAGAATTTCAAGGCATTTAATGTTCTTTTGCTCGAGTAAATAAATTTTCTATGAAAGTTGATAATAATTGAATTACACGTTGCATGACTACCTAACTGTGATGCTCTCATGGTCGTAGGATAATGTACGAATGCTATTTAGATCGTGCAACGATAAAGACGTGTGTCATATAATTTTCATAATACATTTGGATACGTTATACAGGGTATTTTCGCGATTCATTTTTGCTTTTGATTATTATAATGATATTATAACGGTAATTTTTAAGTGTCAATTTTGCAGATTATTGCTTGTTACGTAAAGCGTAACAGGATACGATTATTACAGCCGTTATTACCTTTTATATAATACGAAGGCTGCTACTACTCCCGATTATCATATAATAACGATTACGTCATTGTTATTGTGATTACATGGGAAATTTTCCTTATCGAGCAACAAATCTGAATATATTATGTTTATCTACAAGAGACTGTTAAGGACTATTAATCAATCGTAGTGATTCAATCCTATTTTAAGTGATATGCAATATTAATTTATGTATTTTCGGAAAAAATTCGTAGAAGAAAATGTGTTGGAAATATTTAATTGGAAGTTACCGGGAGTACTGGGAACCGAATAGCATACCGTAATACGCGACAGATATAACATTATACTGCTTCCATCAAACAGTCAGTCGTGGATGTAATTATTGCAGAACAGTTCACCGTTCTCCTTCGTCTTTTATCTCTAAAAGCTTTTTCTGGAATTCGTTTCGTGAAAAATGTCCCCGTGCAGTTGCTCGATATCAATTATACCTTATATGAAAAGTTAACTGCAAATATTATTCAGTATCGATACCATTTTTAAATAGTTGAGAATTTGGATATCCGAATATTCGAATAATTGAAAGCTTGAAAATTAGAAAATTCGAGAATTTGTATATCCGAAAATTCGAATATTTGAAAGCTTGAAAATTGGAAAATTCGAAAATTTGTGTATCCAAAGATTCGAAAGAGTAAAACATTGAATATCTAAAAATTTACATACTCAAAAATTTGAATACTTAAAACTTCATGTACTTGAGAATTCGAAAATTTGAAAAATCGAAAATTCAGGAACCAGAAAATCCCAAATTTCAGAACTAAATCACAGAATAATTGTTAAACTAAAATTCTGTAATTATTAAAGAAATTCCTATCAACACTAATAGTCTACGAACTAATCCTCGAAAATTTTAATCTCAGAAATTCCAAAGCATCAAATTAGAAAAAAATCCTCACAAATATTTTCCATTAAGTGCATCATTCCCATGACCTCCTATTTCGATTAATCTCCAAAAACGTCTGCCAAGAAAAAAGCCAAGAAAGTTAGAAACACCAGACTTGTGAAAGCTACATTTCGTACATAACAATCATGATCTCTTTTCCCAGGAGCTTACGTGGTAACACCAGCAGGGGTCGAAGTCATGTCAAGAGATTCCTGCTATACTGCCTATACGCGTGGGGCCTGTCTCTGTCCATCACGATCGTCGGCATTTTGAGTGACATGACAGATATCCTGCCACTGGCTTTCAAGTCCAATGTTGGTATACAACGCTGCTGGTTCAGTGGTGAGTCATCAAGCGAAAACGATAAGCTTGTATTCACTGTGATAAATCGTGAGCTCGTGTCCACCGATACGGTTATTCAAAGACACGATATTAGGTTGATCGGAAAGTCCTGTCGACAGATTTTATTCTCCCATTCGGAATTTTATTACGTACATACGACTCCCTCTGTTCTCGGACGAACACGAATGCCATCAAATATAGAAAGAGCACCTTTTATTCGATTTTTAAAAATATTGCCATCACTAACCCCTTACAATGTAAAATATTTTTAAATTTTTATAATAATTAATTGTCATTAACTTGGAGTTCACTAGTAGAATTCTCTATAAATTTATATGAAATTCTAGGGGGTTGAATTGTCATTAAATATCAGTAATAAAATATAGAACGATTTTTAACAATCTCACCACCATTACCCCCCTACAATGTAAAATATTTTTAAATATTAGAATTACAAGTTTAATCTCCATTTTACTCATTTATCACTATATAATATATATTAATGTATTATCTTATTATATCGTTATTTCTATCAAACAGTTTACTTATAATAATTAATAGTCATTAATTTGCAGTTCATTAGAAGAATTCTTTATAAATTTATATGAAATTCTAGGGGGTTGAATTGTCATTAAATATCAGTAATTGGAGGTACACAGGTGTGTGATTGATATTAGCCCTTTGCATTCGAGAGGCGCCCTTCAGTCGTCATTTCTACCCTTCTTTACTCTGCTCATTTCAATTGGTTCTTTAGATAACTTACCGACCTATCTACCATATTCTCTTTATCTATTTTGAACTCACCTAACTACCCTATTTAATTTTCGCCCTTTTCTTAATATTATTTATTAATATTAATTTACACTTATATGTCACATCCTCCTCACATGTACACTTATATGCCACCTTCGGTTTGAAACTCTATTCCCTTTTATACCTAATTAACACCCACCAAACACTATTCTTACCTTCTAATTTCGCTTTTCATTTCACACCACTCTCGTACACGTCACGTTCGCTTCCATACCTCTAACCAAGTCCCTTCTTGGTTCTTATCAGTAAATTCGTCCAGTTATCTTCGCATAAGCACCTGTTTTTCGCTCAGCAATAAAAGAGTTGCAAAACGAAACAGATATTCTGGTAATTTTAAAATTTCTAAGAAATTTTGGATCCTATTAAAGAGATTAATAGGTGCATTAGAAATTGTTTTGAGTTTCCACTGGAAACGGATTGAATCACAGAGGACAGTCTCCGGACTGCAATTAAATTAAGGGAACTTTGCATCGTAATGTACAGCGTGGTCTTTAATTAAAGATAAATCGACCAGGTCCGAAGCTAGCGGAATTTGCATTCTATCGGAGACTATTTGTCCCTGACAACGAGTATGGGAAATCAAGTTTTCGTGTTGGTTAGCAAGTAAGTTTGGACGCGGCAAGTGGAGTAAGGAAGGAGAAGACACAGCGAAGCAGATAGTAAACTTCTAGGTCCGGCACTTTGGAGAATATTAAAGTGACTTCTAAGCAACAGTGCATGTCTCCGAAACTTTTCGAGCATAATTGTTCGAATGCTATTCGTCCGAGTCATCCGAGGAAATATTCGAGTTATTCCTTCTCGCGTTTCGAATCATTTATCTTGGAAGAAAGTCCTCGATTAGATTAACCCTTTTGTAAGGGGGGGGGGGGGATTAATAATATTTAACAAGAACTGACCGCTAATACTATTTCCTACGAACTGTCTCACAATAACTCCTCTCAACGCACTGTCTAGGAACTGTCTCGGAACTGTCGCGTACGCTTCTTAACCTGCCCTATTAAGGATGGGCCTCTTTTGTTCATTGATCGCAGATCAAGGGGATCACCGCTTCGATTTGAGACCCCGGTTATCATTGCTACGTGCTCCTTACTCACGCCACCTTATCGGTAATCGAAGCTCGCCTAATCTTATATATTCTTACACTTTGCACTCGGCGATCTATTCGTTACAGAAAACCCGGAACCCAGTTCCGCGTTTTGAAAGGCCCCGTGGTCTACGAAAACTCATCAGACATTTTGCAAGACCGTCTGTATAGTAGATGGAATATTCGGGTGTGCGTAGAAAATCGCATAATCCATTACTCGATTATGCATTAATTGGATATAGTACAGCTTGCTGCACACTGACACGAGTGCAAGATTTTCTCTTCCATCTTTGCATGGAAATATTTCGTTGCAGCGTGTTCTAAACGTTGACATTAAACGTTGACATCAAAGGTTGATACGACTGCAACACGGGTGCGGAATATATTAGGTGTTAAGGAAATCACCCAATTAGAAAACACCGATTTTGATTAACTTTTTAGACAATGATGATACCATACCATTTACCGATACCATATCGGATTTAAATATGTATCTCGGTTCACCAAATTTTTGAACTCGGCCCTGAACATAGTAATTGGAAGACTTTCTGCTATAAAGTCGACGATATTTTCAAAACGGTAAATAAGAAGTGCAAATTAATTGTAAAACCTAGAATTATTTTCGATATTCCACGCGTCATTGGGCAATTTTTAATTTGAGATATTAATTAACAATGATCCTTAGAATCTAATTAAATGGCGACTGAAAGTCGCCTCTCGAGTGCAAAGAGTTAAGTTATCTAATTTACCTTTCTCAACCTTGGGATTTTTCTATTATTATCCTGAACGAAGGTATAATCAAAAATAATTTAGCATTAAAATCTTCGAAAAGCAATTTTACGGTATTCTTCGTGTACATACCTTGTCGAATTGCAGCAACGATGGGTTGACCAGCTTTGCTCGCCCGTCGTTGAACCACCATGTGTGCACACACAGACGCACACGTACAGACTGCTTGTTTTCGACTGATTGGCATGGGTACCCTTGTAAAAGGCTGACCTAAATCCTTGTCTCTCCTCCTTCTAATCGACGAACCAGGATATCAACTGTTGGATCCCTGCAAATATTTATCATATTTGTTAGATCATCGAAAGCTTAGAAATGATGAATTATACTTAAGAATAACAAATTAAATTGCCTATTATTATAAAATAAACGGCAGTCGTGTTATCGTAATATTTATAAATATTATTTGACAGTAGGTGCAAAGTTTTAAAAAATCTCGAGATAAAGTACAAGATAAAATACAAGATAAAATTAAAAAGAAATCTGGAACCCGAGAAAAGAGATATAGAAGCAAAGGAGATTATACTTATAAAGTAAATCGTTGAGCTCACGCAAAGCTTAATTATATAACGAGGAAAAGTGAGAGTGGTAAATACAAAGACAAAGGTGAAGATGAAGGTGGAAGATGGAGAGAAAAATCTGAGATACAGGGGAATTCACGTTCGCACAAATCAGGACGCCACGTGTGTACTTTCAAGGTTAAACGGGGCCAAAGGAAAAATCCTTGGAAGTAGGAAGATAAAGAACAAGGAACTGAAAATGTCAAGAGAAATCTGGAAAAGATTTCTCCAGGAGTTGGAAAAAAGACGAGTATTCCAGCCTCGAGTATTTTCTCATACGACAAATCTTCTTTGCTTATATTATTTCTACTGTAGTATTAGTATTATATTATTTCTAAAATTGATTATTAAAAAAATAGTGCATTCCCAGTATATTAATCACGTCATCAGCCACTAATATTATACAGTTCTAATTAATGAACGAACTTCAGTCGCAAAATAAAATAAAAATGAAAGCATCGAGATCCAAGAATTCCTAATTCGCGATAATGCGTACCCTGATTGGATATACACCGTAAATTTATAAAAACATGACTAGACTTGAATTTTATAAACAAACAACACTATTAATAATAGGATTGAAATGGATCTAACAAGGAAAGTGCAAGTCCTACGGGTCACCGATTTAGTTGAAACTTTGCAGGTTTGTAGAACTCATCATGCAGTTTAAGAAAATATATCTTTATAGCGGCAACTACTCAACAGTTTTTTAAATATTTAAGATTAAATTTTCATTACACCTTAAATTAAACATTTATTTCAACATGTTCACAAATATATTCGTGCCTTAACGGCGATAGCTTAAAATTCTTATGCTGAAGGACCGTGGTTCGATTCCTGTCCCCGTAACTAGGTATTTTTTAAATGTATTTTTTATTTTGTGTTCATTTTTCGTCTATGTATACATTGTAAATAAAATTGCTTAATGAAAAAATTTATTTTTCACATTTTCATATGTAAGTACATATTTATTACAAAATAATAAGAATATTACGCAAGAGAAAGGCTTCTCTATAGCAATCATATTTACTACAGGAAATATAAATCTTATCCCTCATAATTAAATGAAACATTGTATAAGAATGTTGCCTATAATTCCAACTTGCTGTGCAGCTATAAATGTTCATGAATTAATTACAGAAACTTGGAAATTCATTAATTTTCTATTGCCAAATTGATTTATTAAGACGTTAAACTTTATCGTCTATTAAAATGAAAAATTGTACTGCCTGCGCCATCTATGATTTGGCACCAAATGCGCCTAAAGTGATAGGAATATAGAATAGGCAAGGAGGTCGTCGATGTGCTGGTCACGTGGTAGACAAGGATAAAGAGGGGATAGAAAAGGATAGAATGTCTCCGGCAGTGAAAAATTATTAATTACTCAATTTCCGTAAACAATTTGTACAGGCTGTGCTATCACTAATGAAAGATGGAAGAGCAATGCCTTATATCTTACACCATGTGTTTACAACTGAATTATGTTATGTTATGTTAAGGTTATGTTAATACACATCTCATTGCAAAGCTGGAACTTCAGGCTACATTCTTATGTTATTTTCGAAAAGAATTAAAATCTAAATTGTTAGTTATTAATTTTTGATTTATGGCGTCTAACATTCTTTTCATGATGCAGGCACACTTGCATGGACATAACAATCCTTCCGGCATTTGTTTGCAATATTTTCTCATTTTCCATGCACTCTCCTGTTTATTTGGAGAAAAATTAATAAATCGCTCAATTTCTGTGGTTAATT